AGAAGACAAAAACTAAATTCACCGCGTTATATTAACAGACCTTTTGTCATTACCGATGAACAGTCTAATAAACTATCAAAAAAGTATTTGCCTATAAACCTGTTTTTTCTACACATATTTTCTTCTGGGTCTTCACACAGAATATATGGATTCTCATATATGCGGATAGCATTAAAAATACATCTAGAGAAGGCCCAACACGTGCCTGTGTTCTTTTTTATTCCCTTTAATATTTATTTAAATGTTTATATTTTATTTAATGTTTATATTTAAAATTTATGTTCTATCTCCAAACATACATCGAATTAGATACTTCAATTTGTCCAATTCTATGGGCTTGTACTTTGCAATCAGTTTTCGTGGATTCTGTTTCCTTTTTCTGTTTATAAAGTTGCTCATCGTCTTCTTTTCATTCTTCTCATTCTCATATGGTGTATAAATGATATCATATGCATATAATGATGAGATATCTCATCATTATTGCATACATATAAAATAATAAATAATTTTTCTTATTTTTAGATATATACCTACATATTAATTTATATGTATAAATATCGAATAAAGAATTAATTTGTTCATTTATAAATACTGGAACACGGATTTATTCCTAATTAACTACGTATTTTGATATGTATGTTTCATTATATATTTGAGTGCGTATATTATCTATTGATAAAAAAAATTTCGAATGATTTTACGGAATGTTGAGTGTTTAAGACCTTTCTGTCTTAAAAGTCTTAAAATACTTGTTATTTTAAGTAATTTTCCATAATTATTTATCAAGAATGATAGCTGTTGTCTTTGACGACATCTATTTGTCAGTGTATAATATTCTACGGAATACATACGTTAGTGTTCTGAATGAAATTTAAAAAATAGACAAGTTTTATTAAATAGAAGAAATGTAAAAATATAAAAAAATATGCTAAGGACGTATGCGAGTTAGACTAAGTTGATGGTAAATAAAATGGGAGATTTTTTGGGATTTTTTGCACTGCACACGTTTAGGCATTTATCAACACGTATCGACACATCACTACATGGTATTATCGGCACAACTTAGAATTTCCCTCATTTAGAACGCAACTTAGCCTAACTCGCACACGTCCTAAATATTTCGCAGAAAATAAGAACTGTTAAAGCAATGATCACCTACAAGGCATATATCATTACCGATTTCGTTAATTATTCAATTTATTTATTTATAAGTAATTAGATGGGTTTATGGACAGCCAGATATATTTAGTTTTGGCACAAGTTTACTCATTCTCCCATCTCATTTATTTTTTTTTGAATATGAAAGAGTGTATTATAAATTTGCAGATATTGATTGCTATATAGTACCTACATAATATTAAAAAATTTATGGATTTTATAAACAAAATAAAGTTTGATGGGAGAAGAAATCATTTAATTAATTGTAAAACAATTGTTATTGCAACAATTAATCCAGTTGAGGGCATTGAATTTTTAAGTTCGATTTAAGTTCGTGTAGAGATTATTTAACTTTTCTGGAATAACAAAGAGAAAGGCTGAGATTCGCTAGTGCCAGTAACATTTCCTTCTCTATCCAAGTAGTATATAAACGCTATTATTCTCTAAACCTTTGTATACGGGATATGTTACTTTAGGTGATTTAAGTTCGTGTAGAGATTATTTAATTTTTCTGGAATAACGAAGAGAAAGGTTTAGATTTGCTGGTGCCAGCAAAATTTCCTTCTCTATCCAAGTAGTATATAAACGCCACTTGAAATTTTCAAAATGTGGTTTAAATATTGTTGTCTAAACGTTTATATCTGGGATATATTACTTTTGGTGATTTAAGTATGTGTAAAGATTATTTTACTTTTCTGGAATAACTTCTTTCTGGAATAAATTTTAAAATCTGATTTGAACATTATTTCTCTAAACGTTTATATCTGGAATATCATACAAGAACATTATAACAGTTTCTTCCATTCAAATTCACATATCTCGTTTTCTTTTTCACTCTTGCAGCTTAAAGAGCTGCCCTAAAGAGCAATCTGCCTGTGGCTTAAAAGAAATAAAAATTTTTTCGATCAAAGACCCTAATTTCAAGATCAGTTTCAGTATGAAAACCCTCGCATTAGGTTCATACTTTAAATTAAGTATAATTTTTTTTTTATAGATGTGTAAATAAATTGTTTAAACAAATTAATGCATAAAAACAAATATATAAAGTAATATATAAAATATTTCTTTATATATAAAAATAAATAAGAGTTTAAAAAAAAAACTCCACGTAAATAATACCGAAAATTATTGATTTTATTCTAATGAACTCCCTGACCCATATCGAACATACATATATAGAACCAATACCTGCAACTTTTTGATTCACACATTAAAGGCGGGAATCACAAATTTTGTTTATAATTAAAACTCATTGAAGAGTTTCTGTACTGAAGTTACTTAGGCGCCGCCGGACATTGAAGTGATTCACGTTTGTGTGAAAGTTTAAATAATTTATGACTACAAATTCGCAGTAAAATAAGTTGACTTATCACATGTTCGGTATTAAGATATTGTTTTTCTTTTTCATTTCCAACTGTAAAACAATAAAATATGATTATTTTTTTCTTAGCGATCATAAGAAGGGTTCTGGCGATATTGTAGCGGCAAAAAAGAACTCTCCAATAAATTTCATCAAAACAAAAGCACAAAAAAGCAAAGGCGAATTAATTGCACACGTGAAGAAGAAGACTTAGTGCAGCGAATGCAATCAAAGGGGAAGGGGAAGCGGAGTGTGTGCATTGCTGATGTAAGATGATTCTGTGAAAATGTTCACAGCGCTGATGTTCGCTATCAGAACATTTAATGAACTACAATTAATTAATTTTTGTGTCTTTTTAAATTACACATATGAGAACAATTAATTAATTAAACTACAAGAAAAGTCACGAGTTTCATATTAGAGTTTTATATTAGAAAAAAAAACGTTTATGTATGACATTAAGAACAATAATTGAATAAAGTTTTTATGTAATTATATTGCAAATTATTGCTATTTATTAATCAAATTATTTTATTGTTTTATTTTGTGTTGTTATTGTTGTTCTGCGTTGATTAAGATTAATTTTTATATTGACAAAACTCTGTGAAACAGAAAATATTTTATTTACCAATTACTGCTGCTGTTGCTGCTTTTAGCACAGCTAAGAAACTTGTTTATATCGCAAATATTGTTTTGTTTAATATATAACATTTATTATTTTATTTTATATTTGTGAAAAATCATTTATAAATTTTAATTTAAGGTTGTCGCAACTACGTAGGTATATTTTTATTTCATGTTGTAAATTAAGTACACTCAGTTTCCTTATCAAATATTTTTACACTAACAAGTTTTACAGTATTAAATTATAAAACGTCTTCAATAAAAAAAAAGAAATAACAACAAACGCGAACGCAACGAACACAACAAAAGTACGACGGCTACTAAACACAAAATCAGCTGAGAAGACAAAACAGGGTTGCCTTAACTAAAAACTACTTTTTTTAATTAAGTTGAGAAAACAATTACATCAAAAAGGTATGTTTGTGAAATAATATATTATTATTTTTGAAATATTTTCTAATAGACTAACATAATTTTATTTGAAAATATTAATAATTGTAATATAATTTAATAACTGTTAAAAATATTATGCGAGAATTATTAACTGTAGGTGATGATGATAGTATCTGTGTTAAGACTGCGTTTAACCTTTTTGTTGCAAGTTTTTTTATACCTGTGGCTCATTCTCAATTCTCAACTTTCTCAATTAGTTTTCTCAAACGATTTTCACTTTTGACATTTAGTTGCCCGAAGTGTTTGTCAAAAATTTATTATATATAATAAATATGTTCATTGTTTATTTATGAAAGCTAAATAATAATAAAATAATTGATACGATTATTGATCTCAGTTGAATTACTGACAACATAATAAATATTGAATATAAATTAAATTAATAGAACTAATGTTATTAATAAAAATTGTTTATAAAACAATTTGAAATTAAATTGGAAATTGTGATTTGCATTTGTTATTAATATTTACTTTATACACATAAGTTAAACATTATTTAATAAATGTATAAATTAATTAAAAATACCATACAATTTATTTTCACTTTCTACAATTTTATTAATATATCAATATATTCTAGATTGTATACACACGATCTACGAGGAAAGTCGAAATATTTATAAAAAATTGTTAAAAATAAAAATAAAAAAAATGTACGATTCATGTAATAAAATTAATGTGATTTCATTTTCAATACGTTAAATAAACAACTCAAAGTCCGGTAAAATTAAATATTTTATTTATACATGAATAAAGGTAGAAAATAAACCAAAAAAAATAAATTTAAGTGTTTACACTTTAATAATTGTTATGATTGCAGTGACGTCACCATAATTGTTGTTGCTTTTACTGCTAAATGTAGTGAGCTGTCAGTGTCAAATTTTCATTTTGCATTGAAAGCAACAATTGCGGTGACGTGACTGCAATCATAACATACCCCACATGATTTCTTAAATACTAACATATAAAAAAGCGTGATAATGAAATAATAATATTATTATTATTAAAAAAATATGTGTTTACATAAATAATTTATTTAACAAAACACCCAACAATATAAACTTCATATTTTATGATCCCCGTAGTCACAGCAACATATTAATTAACTTAAATTTATTGTTTGCAATTGATTATAAACGTTTATTGAAAATAATGAAAAAATATATACGTATACAGATTTCCACATTTTCATTATATGTAAATATAAGATTATGCAATAAATGTTATAATTCCACAGCATATATAAGCATTCACAACCAATGCGCATTATTTATTCGTTCGCACAAGCGAAGTGTAAATTCATTTACGCATTGGTATGCCATATCGCTTTGCGTTATTAATGAAGTTGGCAATGCTAATTTTTGACATTTCCAGAAAAAATATTTGCTGCCATATTAATTATTGTAAACAAAATAAATTAATAATAAAATAAATTATTAATACTAAATAAAATGGCTTCAAAAAATGCCAAATCATATTCCTCAAGTAATAACGCAGGTAACACAATTTCCAATAATTACACGAAAGATTTTAACAAAGATTTTGTACTGTACGTAGATGCTGTCAACAACGGCAGCATACCACTAATCAAAAGCAAGGACAATGCCAAGCAACTACCAACCTACTATAACGTTCTTCAACGTTCAAGTGAAGACTATCTGTCTGCTGAAGATTTAGACAAAATACAAGCTGAGTTAGAAACTTTATTGTCAAATGTTGCATTACGATATCGTGTACTCAAGGCGGAGTATGAAAGTTTAGATAAAGATGAACGACGCAATGAGCGTCGATCGAAACATACAACGAGTGGTGAGAAAGCGCCTTCATCACCAGCTGTGCAATCTTCATCGGGCAAACGAAAGCGTGATACTGACACGAGTACACAATTAACACGTAAACCGAAAAGTTCCGTAAAACATATAAAAAACGCTAAGAAAAGTCCTAATCCACAACAGCATACGGACGATAGTACAGATTCCACGCCAACGGTTGTGCAAAATACTTTAACTGTGCCAGCTGGCCA